TATCAAAATTCCCAATTTTTTTGCAGAAATTTTAAAAATCCTAAAATGTATATTGGAACCACAAAACACTCCAAGTAGCCAAAACAATCTTGAAAAAGAAGAACAAAGCTGAGGTGGTATACTTCCTTGTCTCAAATTATGTAATAAAGTCATCAAAACAGTATGGTACTAGCATGAAAACACATACACAGGTCAATGGAACAAAATAAAAAGCCTAGAAATAAGCCCAGATAAACTGATAGATGGTCAAGTAATTTACAACAAAGGAATCAAGATCACACAATGGCAAGAGTGACGACTTCAATAAGTGGTGACAGGAAAATTGGATAGCCATAAGCAAAGATTGAAACTGGACCCCATCTTACACCATACACGAAAAGTCAACTCAAATGAAATTGAGACTTGAATGTAAGACCTGAAATCCTAAAAGTCCTAGGAGGAAATATGAGAAAATCTTGACATCAGTCTTGGCAATGACTTTTTGGATGTGTACCAAAAGTAAAGATAACAAAAGCAAAATCAACAAGTGAGATTATATATATCAAATTAAAAACCTGCAGATTCATGTGTTCTGAAGGCTAAAGGGGTCTCTCCTTGTAGTGGCAGAGCAAAAACAGAGTACAAACTGCAGTTGCCAGAAGTCACAGCAGAACAGGCATTTAGAAAGGTTTTTCCTGGGCACTCCCTAGTGGTGCAATGGGCTATAGGGCAGCACCATGAAGTTCACTGCAGTGGCTTTACCAAGAGTTTGATCCCTGACAAGGGAGGTGACCCACATGGTGCGGCAGACCTCTCCTATCTCACCTGCTGCTTCCCTCAGCAGTGTACTTTGTCAATCTGCCTGTTCTGCTCCCTGCTCTGCCTCTGGTGAACCCTCTCATCACCACTGCACCTCTGGCTTGTACCCAGTTCTGTATGCATGAATAAATGAAATCTTAACAAGAAAAAAAGAAAGGTTCCTCCTGTCTTTGATCGCATATTAGTTTAATAGAGTTGATGAAATGGCAACTAAAGGAAGCATTATGCTTCTACAAATATCTTAGGAAAATTATTACAAGCAAAAGCTAAAAGATCAGGCTCTAATGTGGGGGTGAAGGGGTGGAGATTGAACTAGTCAGTGTGAAAGTTGGAGATAAATTTCTTCTCCAGAATAAGGAAGCACCAAAATAGTTCCAGACAACAAGGATTATTTCTTATAGAGATGGTGACATTCTTGGAAAGTATGTAAACCAAAATCATCACTAACAAGGCACCACATGAAGCTGCCCATTCCACTGAAATTTTGAAATCTTTCATCAGGTAAATAATCCCATGTCTCTTTTATAATAAACTAATGTTATTCATAGTAATGACATACAGTGTCACTAAAATTTACTGTACTTACATAACTATTTCTAACAAAAGCATATAAATGAAAATAAATAAAAAGATTCTGCACAGCAAAGGAAATCAACAAAAAGCCAACCTGTGCAATGGGAGAAAATATTTGCAAATCACATATCTAACAAGATACACACACAAATAAATAGTTCATACAACTCATTAAAACAAAATCTCAACACACTCTTCTCTATTTAAAGACTTGATTAAGCTATTCAAGGAAAGCATTTTTCAATTTTCTTGTTAAACAAGAATTAACATAGAAACTCAATGAGTTTACAATTTGAAGTATAAATTCCTAAAAAAGTATTTTCCAAAATATCATACATAGTATACAGGACCAGAACAATATAATCTCTTAAAATCAGCATCTCCAGATTCCTCAGTTATTGCAGTTAAATGTGGAAGAACTGAGGCAAGGAGTAAGAAGTTATTGTTTCCAACAAACCTCTGAGTTTGTTTCCCCACATACAGAATAGAGGTTATTACCCTATATTACAGCCTGACAGAACTACAAACTCACATTACAAAATGAATGTACGCTGGATTGTCTGCTGCTGAGTAGACATCACTGCCCCTTCTTTTAAGGTCTTCCTTCCATTGCAAGTGAAAAGAAATTAAGGACATTGCCAGAGTCTTCTCTGGAGGCAGCTGTATGTCAGTAGACACTTGGGCAGAGAAGCAGGTTCCCAGTGAATAGTTGCTTGAGAACCACCCACTACAGTGCTACAAAGGAAGAGGTTCTTAAAGATTTCCAATGACTTCTGAGAAAACAACCAGTTTCCATGCTACAGGCTAAAATAATTAGTGACAGTTTCCTTAATTCCCTGAGCCCTTCCAAAGGTTATCAAAGCCTTTAATTGCCTTTGCTAAAACCCTTACATGGAATTGAGTGGCTTCTGTTTTCCTAATCAATCTCTGATGGAGTGGTACAATGTAGTAAAAATACTCTTAAACAATGAAGACCACACAACACACAAAAGCATGGATTATTATTTTTGTTCCCACTGATAGGAAATTTCAAATGAAGTTGATTTCTGGTAACCCGCCTCTTTTTAGATAAATCAATACATCTAAAATAAAGCTTTCCTTCTACAAATCAATAAAACTTTTCCTTACTACAAAAATCAGCTATCCACCTAACTTCATTTTCTCAATTAATCACTCACTCAATAATCAAAACATGTTTACTAAGCAAGGCATTACGCTAGGTATCAAGAGAATTCTTTTTTTTTTTTTTTTTTTATTTACCTGTGCATACAAGAACTGGGGTAAAGGCCCAAGGTGTTGGGGTGGAGGGGCAAGAGGATTCACCAGAGACACACTGAGGTGCAGAACAGGCAGATCTTACCAAATATGCTGCTGAGGGGAGCAATGGCAAGACAGGCAAAGTCTGCTGTGCCATGTGAGTTAGCTCCCTGGCTTGGGATGGAACTGGAGCTGCAGAGGCTGCCAATAGCTTCATAATGGTGAGATTTAACCCTTTGCACCACCAGGGAGGCCCATCAAGAGAAATCTTCTGTAAGAGTTTACAATACATGAAAATAACAAAAACATACTATTCACAATGTAACTTTTGCAAATCAGGAACTATAAGTGAATGTGAGAAAGGATGTATTAAATATGAAAAGATAATACTAAAAAAGCAATTAAGGAAGAAGAGGGCCCTCCCTGGTGGCACAGCAGGTTAAAGCACAGCACTGAGTAGCTAAAGCCACTTCCGCATGAGTCCAATTCCTGCCTGCCCCGGAGGTGACCACTTGGCGTGGCAGACCTCTCCTGACCGCCTGCTGCTCCCCTCAGCAGTGTACTTCATCCATCTGCCTGTTCTGTTCCCCACTCTGTCTCTGGTGAAGCCTCTCACCGCCCCTGAGCCTCTGGCCTACACCCCAGTCTGTATGCACAATAAAATCTTCAAAAAAAAAAAAAGAAAAAAGGAAGAGAGTTAGGGATTAAAATAGAGCTGAGCATTATGGGTAGGAAGACTGCACCAAACAAAGATAACACAATAAACTGAAAGAGCATGCTCAAAAAAAAAAAAAGAAAAGAAACAAAGCTAGCAATTCAAAGGTACCTATGAAGAACAGATAGGTAATGCAGAGTGGCTTATACCTGAAATACATACAAAGGACGGGGGGCAAAGCCCAAATAATACAAGGCTAGAAAAACGAAACCTAATTCTCCAATTTCATACTCATCAGTAGAATTACAAAATGTTATGCCTGGATAATAAAATCAGTCTAATATACCCCTACAACTACAGTTTAATCATAAATATGAGGACTAAGCAGAGAAAAGGAAGAGATCATTCTGAAGTGTTGCTTTTAATCCCAGCACTCTTCTGCACAAAACCCTTCAATAACTTCTAAATGCCCACTTCTTCGGGTCCCTCAATACTTCTTCAGTATTGTCTACCATGTGGGTTCCTATGAACTGGCACAATTACTAGTAGCAACTATGATTTATTTGCTATCTACAAATCACAGCAGAACATTCCTAGACTACCTACGGAGTATAGCTCATATCACGAGGCTGGCCCAGGGACGCCTAGACTGCTGATGACCCGATTACGTGACTATCTCCATGGTGGTCTCTAGATAACTCTGCCTGTGATAACATCAAATACTTTACTGACGCAAATGTCTCTTGACATATGGTCATGATGTCTGCTTCCCTGCCCCTTGAAAAACTTTGTCTCCCATTCCTACCCCACCCTCCAAACTTTATTCCACATACCATTGTCGCATCATCAGCTTTTACTAGCCTGGATGCTTTCAATAAATGGCACAAGAACTTCTACTCAAGTAACATAGTCTTGCCTTGCAAATCTGCTCCATGACTGCTATGTCCCCCACTACATTCCTGCCGCAAATTGGCAACAAAGGTACTGTCACCAATATACCATCACCCAACAAACACAACTCTCTCCACTTAAGCTAACCTCCACTGGAGGACCTGGAATACAGAAAGAAAATGCAAATGGAGTGTACTGTATATTAGTCAGCTCATGCTGCTATCACAAAATAGTTTATAAAACAGGTATTTGTTTTCTTATAGTTCTGAACACTAGGGTGTTCAAAATGAAGCATGCTCAAAGACATAGAGAGCTCTCTCACACTGCTAAGGCCACCAGTTCTAATGGATTAACCTTATAACCTCACTTAATCTTAATTATCTTTGTAAAGACCCTATCTCTAAACATAGTACTTTGGGAATTAGGACTTCAACATACAAATTTTGTAGGGATACATTCATTCTGTAACATACTGGGCTATTTCTCAGGCTGAAACTTAAGAGATTTTGCAGCTTCTGCTCTTTCCTTCATCATGTAGAAAAGCTCTGTTTAGGCTGCTGAAGGATAGGTCACAGAGGAAGAAAGGCATCATAGATAACAGCTCAGAGCCAGCACCAAATGCCATATATATGCGTGGGACTACAATGGACCAGGTCCAAACATCTAAAAAATAGTTACAACCACAGGAATGATCCAAAGTAAAACCAGCGAAACTGTCATCAGAGTTCAGTCAAAATTGTACAACTGTGATAAAATGATTGCTGCTGTATGTCACTAAATTTTGGAACAGCCTATTATAAAGTAATAAATATCTAATATGGCATACCTTTTTCTGCTTTTTGACCTAGACCTCTGAACTCTATAGGATTTCCCTCGACCCCTTGAACGACTTCGACTTCGTTTTCTTCTAGATCCATAAGAAGAGCTACTGCTTGATCGATGCCTGCGTCTGAAATAAAATATATCCAAATATTATGGCCATAAAAATATTTCTGTTATGAGTATAAAGGACAAATCATCTAGATTCTAAAGAATTATTTCATTTTTATTATGTCTCACTACTATCAAACAGAAACAAATCTAAATGTTATTCCCCTTGAACAATCAACACAAATGATTCATACTTTGGTGACTGGACCAGCTAATTACATTGCATTAAGTTGCATACAATCCTTCCAAATATTACAAGTAAATCTAAGAACTACACCAGTTTATAACTGTCTGCAAAGAATAGGCAAAGGATGAGGACACCAGATTAATAGGAAGGCCTGGCTAAACAAAATCAATCTTTTGAGTGAAACTTAATCCTCAAATTTATAAAATGTTTTAAAGTACAAGACACATGAACTTTAACATCACCTTCTTTCATAAGAATGTGAGCGAGGCTGAAGATCTCTGGACCAAGATCTTGACTTTGACCTTGATTTCCTTCCACCTTTCTTTCGGCTGTATGTTCTACTATCTGAAGAACTACTTGAAGATGACCTTCGTCGATGTTTCTTTTTTCTTTTGCTTCTGCTTTCTTCTTCAGTATCAGATGATCGGCGTCCCATTTCTACAAGTTTAAATAAAAAAAAAAAACTATTTCTAACATAATGGCAAATGGATGAAATTTGGTATAACAGTTTTTATAAAACTTTAGAGGCATTATTTAAAGTAAGCTTTTAAATGTAACTGGCTTCTTTAGAGACAAGATATGAGAAACAACTCTAACACAGTCTTCCAGAGTATCAATGACTGGTTTGTACAATTTATGAACAATTTAAATTTGTCCCATATTGTTTCAAATGCCTCTTCAAGGAATCAATTCTAGGAACAATTCATTATAACAATTTTCTTCTATTTTAAGTGTTTTAGAGATCAACTATCTAATCCTTCATCATCACATTCCCTAAAGAGAAGACATTTTGGGATCTCCTTGGTGACGCAAAGGAGTTGACCCACATTTTATGGCAGACCTCTCCTGTCCCACCCATTGCTCCCCTGAGCAGTGTATTTCAGTCCATCTGCCTGTTCTGCTCCCCATTTTGTCTCTGTTGAATCCTTTCACCACACCTCCCCCACCCTCGCACCTCTGACCTGAACCCCAGCTCTTGTATGCATAAATATTTTTTTAAAAATCAGACATCTTACTATCTTGTATAATTAAATTTTTCTAGCTGAAAATTCTAAAATTTTAAATGAATATGACCACATTAGCCATCAAAAAAGTACAGAGTAAAACAATACATTATCATCATTTCACTTCAGTAATTTGAGAGTAGAAAGGTTAATTAATTAAAGTATCAAAGTTGAGGAAGTTATTACAAAGTCAGTCAAATCTTCACACTGCTACTACCTATATAAAGTAGCAATATAATCTTTGTAGAAACAAATAATTTAATAGTCATAAAAAGTTGACTTTTTGACAGAGCAAACATACTTCTAGAAATATATCAGTAAAGTTTTACCTAGACAAATATATTCACTTATATCATTATTAAAATATTTGTAGTCATAATTTAATAAAATAGATGCATGAGTAAGCACAAAAAATGAAAACTGATAATATTTAAGTAATAAAACTGAGTAGTTTTTCTTTTCTTCTTTAAACTGTTTCCTATATGGTTATGGTAATACTTGCATATTTACTATACAAAACGGAAAAAAAAACATAAATAGAACTTAAATGTTTCATGTTTATGATTTAACTTAGATGATAAAAAGTTTACTTGTCTTGGCCTCAATCTCATATGCAATCTTAATTTTTTTTTTTTACTAAAAATAGTTATTACTTTCAATGTCATATAAAAACAAGATCCTGTCTAGCTAATGATTAAGATAAATGGTTAAATGGATGAGACAACAAATATTTTGCTTTCCAATATTAACTCAAAATAACTTAAGTACCATTCCAGTAATATAAACAAAATTATGTGTTAACTTATAGCTTTGTTTTCAAAATTGTCAGATAAACTAGACCCTCCCTGGCTCCACAGCAATGCCAATGAAAAATTACTAATAAGACTCAATTCTAAACATTAAGCTATTTTTCTAGATCTAGTATTAAAGGCTTTAAATACAGTTCTTAAGCTTTAAGTTGTTCATGTGTCTAACATTTTATAGCAACAAATACTGGGGAGGCTTGGTTTTGAAGTTTGAAGTAAATAATAAACATATCTAAGTTAGTTTTCTCATTGAGAAATGAAAACTGCCCTTGGCTAAAAGATCACTGTAGCCCTGTCAAACTTTAAAATAGTATGATTATGAAATTATATTTAAATATAAGTATTTAAATATAAGTATATCCAATGTTCACTTTATAAGTAAAAATATATCATACAAACCTATTATGTAAGTATCTACCTATTTGTATATGTATTTCCATTAAGGAGTTTCTACACAAGTGAACAGAAGAATATATATGTTTTCTTATATATAAGAAAAATATAAAAAGCCAGGTGTGGCTTTTTTCTTGCTTTCTTTTTTTCACCTTTAAGAATTTTCTTTGCCCAAAGATATCCATTTAAATTGAGTTTTTGTATTTTTATTATTGACTTTTAAAAGTACTAATATGAGAGTGAAAGAATATAATAGTATAAACTCACAAGGATAAAAAAACTAGAAAAGAAAACAACAGAAACAGTAGACAAAATAGGTTAACAAATTTTTAGTAAATGAAAAACAGATGGAGGATTTAGAACTGAGTCAAGGCAATGGTACCAAGCAACTACAGAGAATTCCAACAAGAAAAAGACCAATATACATAGCAAAAATCAAAAAGGATCAAGAATTTGCAACACCAGATTCCATAGCAGGCGCAATGAGGCATGGAACTAAATACAGGAATTGGTTGAGTCTATAGAAGTAGTTTCCCAGATCCCCTCCCAGAGCCAATCCTGACAAGCAGACTACTCTTCCCCTGCAGGAGGTTTATTTTAGAAGAAAAAGGAGCAAAGAAGCACCAGGTTCAGGGGCACAGTAAAAGGGGCAGAGAGATCTAAACAGAAAATTATGTTAAAGTCTACAATCTAATGATAAATAAACATTGTAGCTCTCTATATGTTTGGATCCAAGAAATTCTGCAGAGGGTTCTCCTCAGCAAAAACTGAATATTTGACAATAGGTAAGTATTTGAAGCATCCTCCCCCCAACCCCCTAAATAAAGGCCAGGTCCTCACCCATCATGCTATATAACGAAGCCCAAACTTATAAATACATTTTTATTTCCTCTGTAAATTGTCTTTCTGCTAATTTTTTAGTGACTATACAACATAAGATAGCCAATCAAATAATGAAAGTCTTTATACATGAGAGGCAAAAAGCAAAACATAATGTTACTGCTACTTTATTTACAATTGGAAAAACATGGAAGCAGCCCAAATGCCCAAAAGTAGATGACTGGATAAAAAAAGATGTGGTACATATATACAATGGAATATTACTCAGCAACCAAAAAAGAGAAACACATGTCTTTTGCAGCAACTTGGATGGAA